TCAACTTGTTTTTGTAGCACTCCAAAACACAAGTACAACGAACCAAATTTAGGCTTATGTACTCCAAGGATGAAATGAAAGAAAATCAAAATAAATGAATGATTTTGATTTTGGATGGAAGAGAGGATGAGAGACGTTTTGCATATCAAACTGTGAGGAATAGGACACCCAAAGGGTCCTATTTATAGACCATGAAAGGGTGTGGACGAAATGGTTGGGGCCAAACCATGCACCATTTCCAAACAATGCACCACCTTTATGAAAAGGTGTCTATTCACTGATTTTCGTCCTTTTTTTTTTTGTAATTTCTCATTCATCCGATATTGATTTTCGAAATGCCAAATATACCCTTCAATACATGCAGAGAAATCAAAATTCTCTTTCGGGGGCGTTGCCCCCGACCCCCCACGAGGGGCGCTGCCCCCTCGACCCTCGCGATCTGACCGGGCAGGTCGATCCCCGTTTGTGCGCCCCGAAGCGGCGAAGTGGCAAACAATTTTGCTTAAACGGATTGAGTCGAGTTTTTGAGTATTTGGTCGAAATCAATACGAAGTCACTTTAATTGATTTTCAATTCTCGATTTATTTAACCAATATCCAACAATTGAAAAAAGCAATTTTTATTAAAAATATTTCTAATTTACCCTTATTTATATTTTGTACAATTTCAAGATTAAATGAAAAAAATTAGTTATAACGAAGCAAATTAAATAAGCAAAACAAAATATTCTCAATAAAAAAAATATTACTATATAATAGGGACAAAAAAAAGGGGGAAAGTCAGCATATATAAATGAGACGAATAGAGTATTTCAATTAGTAAATGAATTTTTAAAAATGTATAGCTCTAATATCTTTAAAAAAATAAAAATAAAATTTACTTTTCAACCTGTTAGCTAAATTTGACGTACTTGATGAACTAGTAATTTGCTAACTCAGTGCTTTGATCGGATCAATGATCCAAGTCGAGTCAGATAATTATGCACCAGCTTCACTATGACCCATGGTGAATATGTTGTTAGTTGCTTTTTATTTAGATAATAATTACAATATAAGAAAAAAAATTATCTAATATTTAAGGATAATGTGCTTTATAAAGAAATGGACAAACTTGGGAATAATATTGCCATAAATAGATTAATCAAGACCCCCATGCCACTACTCTTCACCACGAATCTGCGGTCCCCTCTTCCCTGTTTGAGTAGCAGAGGCCACTTTGCAATTCACGCCCACACAAAATCAAAAACCTAGAGAGCAAGTTATAGACTGAAATAGAATCAAGTCAAGAATTTCAATAGGCAACCCACGATCCATAACCCAGTTGCAGCTTCAAGCATTTAGTCCAATAATCAAGAAGCATGCCTTCAGGTGCTAAGAAGCGAAAAGCTGCCAAGAAAAAGAAGGAAAACGAATCATCTTCCAACACCTCCGATCAACATCTTTCTACTGTTCACTCTCATGGTATGTCTGTCTCTGTCCTCCAACGTTTGGAATATATTGAGATGAAAAAATACCCTTTTGAGTTTGCTTTATTTAAATTAATCCATACAAAACCATGTACAACTCAATAATTCTCTTATCTGATTGAACTTTACAGTTTTTTTCTTAATTTTGATTAGTGGGTACCGCCAATTCTGGTTGCTTTATTTGATTTACCACAGTTTCCATCTATATCTATGGTATACTCTTTTAGATTATTATAGATCTTTATTTTGAAGCGTGTGCGAAACTGTGTCTTTATAAATTTGAAAATGGTTTTGAAGTTTGACTTATATCAGTGGTTTTTGGAGAAGTGGCACTTACTTACTTGTATAGAGATATGGAATGCTCATTTACTTCTCGATGAAGATTGAATTTTTTTTTAAAAGAGTGTTTGTCTTTGGATGGGTTGCTTTATAGATAATTGTTAGTTAGTGTGGCTTTTCTTGATTTTGCATCAAATTTTCTGAATCAATCAAACTATGGTAGGAGATTATGATTCGAAGAACCAAGATGATAAAGAGACGGACGGTGGAGAGGTCAGCTCTCCTGCATCTCAGGACCGCCATAGCTACCAGCAACATTTCACGGAAGAGGAGGAAGAGGTGGAGAAGGGAGAGCACACTTCAAATTTCGTCTTCATTGAAGGAGTGAAAAACGAGGGTGTCGACGAGCAAAAAATAGTGGTTGAAGAAGGGAGTGTTGTTCAGGTTGAAAAGGTATTGAAGCACGAGGACGAATCAGAAATGAAAGACGATGTGGTTGAGCATGATGAGCTACCTGAGAAATCATATGATGGAGGAGTATCAGGGAGTTCTAGCAGTACCAGCAACAGTTCAGATGATGAATCACATAATTTTGAAAAGAATAAAGATACCACACACAATGCTTCAGTTGATTCAGCTAAGGCAGAGAATTCATTGTCTGAGAGGCCGCCCGAGGTTATTCATGGTCCTTTGGAGGAACAGGCTGGTGATTCAGTTGTCGAAACTTGCCCTGTTGTTGGATCGGAGAAGGTTTCGTTGTTGAACGAGGAAGTGAAAGTAAATACGAGTGCTCCACCTGATATTTCGGAGGCTTCGTACGTGTCTGAATCTGTATTGAAGGAAAATGGGGAGAAGTTGAAGTCTGCCGAAGAGAATTTTGTCTTTTCTGCGGGTGGTATGGATGCGGCATCTGACAAGGAGGCGGTGAGAGCATCTGTTCAATTAGCTAAAAATGCTGCTGAAACTTCAGATGCAAAGGAGTGTGCAGTACAGGTGACTGATGACAAGTTGACTTTGTCATACAGTGTAACTAGAGTTAATGATAATAATGGAGCAGAACGTCAGGAAGATTCTGAAGATCCTAAGGTATTTGACATCATTCTTCTTTAATTACTTTACTTAGCCATGCACTTGAATCAGCAAGAGAAGGTTTAACGCATCACTGATTTATCTTAACCTTTTCTTTTTCTTTCCTTAATTATTTTACTTAGCCATGCACTTTAATCAGAAAGAGAAGCTTTAACGCATCACTGATTTATCTTAACCTTTTCTTTTTCTTTCCAAAACTTTGTGCAGCCAGTGGTAGCTCATACTCTACATCCAGTCCAAACCACTTCCTGGAAGAATTGTTGTGGACTTTTTGAGTTGCTGACAGGGTCTGGTAGATAATCCAAGGTTAGTATCGTCGCTAAGCTTTGAAATGTCTTTATCATGTTTCATTCTTGAAAATTTGTTAAAATAAATTTTCACAACCTTTTTTATGCTACCATGGGGTAGTAAATACAGTATTTAACATGTAAGTTAAACTTTACAGTAGTTAAGTGAACCCCAACGGGTGCTACATATAAATCAACAATGAATGAAGCGTATTGGATATAGGTAAATGCACAGCATCAAGTGGTCAATATCTAATTGTTTAGGTGTTTTTAGTTATTATCATAACTTTGAGATTTTTTATTTTAAACCCCCTCTTGTGCTGGTAACGCTCTATGAGATTTTTTATTTTACACCCCTCTTTTGCCTAGAGTCTCAGCATTCTATATTTCTTCTTATCGTAAAAACTAAAATTTTAAAACCCCTCAATTTAATGCAATGCAAACAATCAAAGAACCTCTATTTCTAATTCTAGAACATACTATTTATGCAGTAGCGTCAGCCATTACCCAAACACACTAAACAAATACTAAACTTCTCGCTTTCTGTGTATGTCATTGCAGACCCATAGATAATCTCATTGGCCATAACCGTCAATCCCAACAAAAAACCCAGTTAGGAGGTTTTATGGGAGATTTTCAAAAAGTCCTCCAACTTTCTTAAGTTAGGAATTGTACTGGAAAATTCTATGCAATTTGGAGGAATGTGATTGCAGTAGCTAGTTATGTTGATTAGTAAGAGTTTTAGTTTGTGATTGTTGTCTCCTACCAAGGAGAAGTATATAATTTTAAGCTCTGTTTTAGCTATCATTACTGGCCTATAGTTATAGGCATCTGGTTAAATTACATTGATCTTGTACTCTTTAACATATCAGTTATCATTATGTACTATCAAAAATTTTATGTATGCTTGCTGGTAAACAATTTTGCACATTATTATAAATTGGATGTTCAGATTGGATCTTTTTTAGTCAGTTTCAGTAGCTGCTGGAGGAAAAATCTTGAAGAGCTTCGATACTATTGTAGAATGTTGTATCAACTACATTCACTTGTGGTCGATTAATTTTTAGTAAAATTTCATGTTGATCACTGAATATCAGTTTGTTTCAAGTTGCTCCACAAGTAATTTTATCTTCTATAAACTGTGCTCTCCACGATCTTTTGAGTGATGGCAGTTGTTCCACAACTAATTTTATCTTCTATAAACTGTGCCTTCTGTGAACTTTTGAGTGATGGCAAAGTACTCCGCTCCTGCCCGCCTGGCTGATGAATTGGGGCTAGAAACATGGTCTCTGCCCTGAACCTGCCTCGATTCCTGTTTTTAACTTTATTTTTCCTTTGTTATAAGCCTTTTATCTATTTTTATTTAAATAGTAATTTAAAAAATATATAAATAAATAATGGTATGGGGAATGTAGATTTTTTATCCCTGCTTCTCCTTTTGTCGCCCCCATTGCCATCTCTCTTTTCTAGTCAATTTTAAACAAGTGTAATTAATTTCAGGGACCAACTTGAAAGTTCACCAACACGTTAACGCCTACTTCCCTTGCATTCATGCATGTTGTTGGTGGAGAGGTTGATCTTTTACATCTTATGCTTCTCTTCAGTCTCTATAAGAGAGGACCCATATATCTTGTCTGATTATCTTCTCAAAATCCTGATATCCTCCTGTTGATGCAGATTCAAGGCATGAGGCACCTTGAAGCTGGGAAGGATTTCACCAAAGAAATTTGCAATCAATTCTTCTACGATTAACAGTGTAGAAAAATGGGAGCAAAGAGGTCTGATGACATGCTAAGAGAGTTTTTCCTTGGTGCATTTTTGCAGCCCGTAGTCACTGTAGTCTTAATGACTTAGTTTTAACGCATTCGTGTAAGCTTTGGAGTTTCAACTTTACGACTTATAATGTTAAAAAGTTATTACAGTTTGTCTCATCCAACTTTCTTGCATTCCTAATAGTGACAAACGAATAATTACGTCTTCTTGTCTAACTCGACTGTGATAGCTTCGTAGCAGGTTATGATAACTGCCCTTTTGTGATTTAATGTTCTAGTTGAGATCAAAAGCCTCTGATCAGAAATTTTGTTCTTTTAAGTCATATTTTTGAATGGCTTCAATATGTTTGCTGGGAATATTTTATTAGTGGCTCAAGTTTCTTGTGAACTGTCTTAGGTGTCCTTTCTTGGCCCTTTATGGCTCATTGCCAATAGGTAGTTCAAGCGCCTCTGACTCACAGTCCATCTGTACTTGGGCCGACGGGCAATTTTTGACATCTATATTGCTGCTTTAGGCCCCGTTTGGTATGGATTTTTTGCCCCAAAAAATTGATTTTTTGACCGTTATTTTACTATCCAAGCCGTAATTTTTGACTTCTTCTCTCACATGTGGACCCCACTTTTCTTCTAACGGTCAAAAAATCAATTCTCAAAATCCCTACCAAACGGGGCCTTACTAATTGCTTGGACAATTCCATTTGTACCAAATGGAATATACCGAAAGTTGTCCTCGCTTTTACACCGTACTTGGGCCTCGCGTGAATATAAAAATTCTCAAATGTGGTCTTCACTCCCTATTGTAAGTAGTAGGTAAAGGATTATGTAAAAAAATTAGATACATTTAGCATTGTTCTAATTGCTTTTTATAGGGATTTCAAAGAAATGTATGGTTGTGTTGGACCGTTGGTACATTCGAATGAGATGGTATACGCAAATTCACTTGTAATTACATATTTTAACACGTTATTTGTCCCTGATCTCAAAATTCATATTTAAGGAGTAAGAAGTTCGAAATATTTAAGTTCGTGTCGTTTGTTTTGCTAATCATCGATTAACTTGGACATCTTGACCGGAAATGAACCTCTGAATCGGACCCCGGGGTGTCAATTTGGTTTTAAAAATAAAAAATGAAAAAAGGAACTCTAATCCAGAATCAAGATTGATCACGTCCCAGATGGTGCTTGATTCTTGAATTAGAACGTGGACTCTCAACTATGGAACCGAATTTGTCCCCTTTTTTTTCTTTTTTACAATTTATTCACGAATTCAATTATGTGAATAAAAAATTGTTTGACAACCACTATTTCAACTATTTTTTCTGTATACTCATTTTTTACAACACATTCACACAATAAAATATATTTCCCATAAATTCAAAAAAATTCTCTATTTTCTAACCACACATTTTTCAAAAAATCACTATTAAAAATTCCATTTGACCAAAATAATGGTTTCAAACAGGGGCTTAACAAGTATCGAGTTTGTTTTCTAACCACACATTCTTCAAAAAATCACTATTAAAAATTCCATTTTACTGAAATAATTGTTTCAAACAGGAGCTTAAAAAGTATCAAGTTTGAAAGACCCAAGTAATAAGTCCCACAATCAATTGAATCGATTCATTTGAATAGCTCAATCAAATCAATCTCGCAACTCTGAAATAATTGTTTCAAACGGGAGCTTAAAAGGTATCAAATTTGAAAGACCCAAGTAATAACTACCACAATCAATTGAATCGATTCATTTGAATAGCTCAATCAAATCAATCTCACTACTGAACATACTTTACACACTTTCCGTTCCACAAACCATTTTTCAAGCGATGGACGCAAAGTACCAGCCAAAATTAGATGTTATTATAGCCCCGTTTGTTTCTTATTTTCGGAAGAATGAGAATGAAAAATATAATTGTTACAGGTCCTACATAAGAGATAAAAATTCAAATTTGGTGGTTTAATGTGATGAACAACAATAATATTTTTCATTTTAATGAGAAAGTAACGAAGGCTATACTAGACATTAGATATTTTTTTCCATTCAGTGATATTTGCAGTGAACTAAGGAATTGTTAAAATACGCATTTGGTAACATTTTATTTTCTCTATTTCAACCAGATATTGAGATAATTTATCAGCTCACAATTTTATTTTATTTTTTGAAAAAAATAAAAGTGGTAGGCAGAACCGATGGAACCGAACCCCCCCAAATCCCAAGCCTACGCTCGACTACATTCATATTCCCATATTCTTTGTACTTTCAAATAAATCATGATTTGGAACCAAGCACCGACAACCCACCTATGGGATCAGAGATAGATTCACTATCCGAATAAATAAACATATGCAGATGCCAAAAATTGCATTCATATTCAAATGTACGAAGAACATACAGGAGTACAAGAAAGGTGCTCATTTGACGTCTTATTGGAAGAAGTTGCAATCCAAAAAGGTAAAAATCACCTCAATACCATTCCTATTTCAAATGTATATGAAGGAGGTTATAACTTTCAAAGTGAAGGATAAGACCCCTCGAAAAAACTAGACTCCACAGCACGGACAAGAACTCAGCCTAAAAGCTCATTCATCCTCTTGACTGCGCAACCTAGCAAGCTTGTTAGTGACAACAACGTCAAGCTGGGCAGCTTTCTCAACAATTTCTTTCCTCTTTTTTGTAGATATATTGTGAGCAATTTCTGCACAGTATGTCCTGTTCCAATAGAGTCAAAATTAATTTGTAGAAAGTCGATATAATAG